TATATATATATATATGTATATGTATATGTGTGTGTGACTTAAAGCGTTTAAAAAGGAATAAGATGTGAATTATAACTTATTATTTCAATAAACAAATCAGAAAAAAATTTCATCTTCAACACCCCATGAGTTTAAAGCTACTCAACCTAATTCACTATAGAAAAAAAAAATTAATAAGAGTGTGAAAATATCCTTTAAAATTTTCTAATTTTAAAATAATCAACAGTAAATATTTATGTGAGAAAGTTCTTTGTAAACTTTAAGGGCATTTCATGATAACTAATTTTTACTTTTTTTTCTCTCATTTTTTCAACATCTATCATTTTGTCCATGAACAAATCAAAATCGATCATGTGACTTGTAAAGGTTTATTAACACTTACGACATCCCTTTAAATTTGGTAGCTATTTAAAAGTGATATAAATATGCCAATAATAAAGTTATACTAAACAAAACAAAACCTATATCTTTATTTGTTTAAATTTATAAATAAAAAAAGAATCTCAAATGTGTAAAGAAAGGCACTAATGTGTTAATAAATACATACAAGTCATGTGATGTACGATCTTGCTATAACTGATCATTAAAAGAGTCAGAATCTAAAGTTTAGGAGAAAAAATAATTCTTCCAATTTGGAATTGTTTTGTGCGACATCAACAGAAAGGAAAAAATAGTTGTTGTGTACATGTAAGTGTTTCACTTTTTTCATAAAATTTCACAAAGATAATTTTAATTTGTTTAATATAATTCAAATATTTTTTGTTCCAATTAATCTTAATGTGTATGTAGAAAAACTATATGAGCAGATTAAGAAATTAAAAATACTCAGACCAAGATTTTAATGCTAACTAGGAATCTAAGGAAAAAAAAACTTAATTAAAAAGTAAGAAGAATAAAAAATTTAATTTTCTAAATTCAACTTCTTTTTTTATCTTTTGCTTTCTCTTCAGTTAAAAAATGGTTTTCTTTGTCATTTGCTTCTCTTCCAACGTACCATGACAAAAAATTGTACCTGACTTTAAATAAAAGCACAAAAGAAAAAATAATAAAAAATTGCTTTTGCAAAGACTAAGATTAAAAAAGAAAAGCAATTGGCAGGTACAAGAAAGAGGGAATGAGTGAGAATCATGTGAAGTGCCGCCACTCTTTCTCTCTCTCCATCAGTGGCTGGGTCAATCAAAAGCTTTAATCTTTTACAATCCAACAAAACACCCACTTCTGTTTCCCTTTTGGTTAAGCTATTCTCAGAGTTTCTTCTTCTTTGTGTTTCTTCCAATGGCTGCTATTGCCCCAAGATTCATCAAGTGTGTGACCGTTGGGGACGGAGCTGTAGGGAAGACCTGCATGCTCATTTGCTACACCAGCAACAAATTCCCCACGGTGTGCATGCTTTCTTCCAAATCCTTTATGCTTTGAAGAGATCATTTTTTTTAATTGCTTCCATTTAATGTTCTTATCCTGTAATTGTTCACTGTGTGTGCATATGCATCCTGAATTCCGCTCAGTTCCGTTGAAGTCATCTTAATTTGCTTAAAACATGTTTTTTTTGTTTGTGTGTGTTGGACACAGAAGGTTACCCATTTATTATCTTGTAAAATTTCACCATTGAGTTCATCTGATTTGGCTTTCCCTCTATGTTGATCGTCAGGACTATATTCCCACTGTGTTTGACAATTTCAGTGCCAATGTAGTTGTTGAAGGCGTAACTGTCAATTTAGGCCTTTGGGATACAGCTGGTATACCCTCTGAGACTTGTTATAATTTTTTTGTTGTTTTATTTTATCTGGGGAGGGGAAGGATTCGTGTAAAACTGAAAAGATTGAATTAAAGTTTCTTGAGATTTCAAACAATACTCCTTTTTTTTCTTCATTTAGAGTATATTAAACTGACACCTGCTGTCCTAAAACACTTTATTTACACCAAATACTCCCAACAGGAGAGTTTCTGGAACCTTAAAAAGGTAGTGATTCAGAAGCAATTTCAATAAACCACTGGTGGTATAAGTCTAATTGGCTCCAAGGGAGGGTTTTGTATGTTGAAAGGCAAAGTTTGTTATATTGTATTTGTTTCCAATACCTTCCTTAGGGCAAGAGGATTACAACAGGCTGAGGCCATTGAGCTACAGGGGGGCAGATGTCTTTGTCTTGGCTTTTTCTTTAGTTAGTCGAGCAAGCTATGAGAATGTGCTGAAGAAGGTATGCTTCAGTGCTTGTATCTCTGAATTGGTATTTTGATGTCTTGCAGATTTCTCTTTTGTTCTCTAATTTGTATGCACTCTCCAGTGGATCCCTGAACTCCAGCATTTTGCCCCTGGCATCCCATTGGTATTGGTTGGTACCAAATTGGGTAAGTCATCCTTCACTTGTGTTAATGTCTGTCTTAGTCTCGTGCTAATTTGTCTTCTAATTATAGACCCTTCTGTGTATCAATTCTTTTACAATAGAATTCAGTAAAAGAATATGCACAAAGTTTTGTGCCATAGTATATATTTTAAACGTAACAAACTCATTCATCATAAATTTGTGAAGACTGGCTTTCATATGGGTTGGGCTTATATGTGCAGCTTCTAACTTGTCCATGTATCCCTACTATAGTGAGGACACATTTTAGTTTACATCTCCTTCATCACTTATTGGTAATCTACTTAGGAAATTGTATTCAGATATTACAAATGCAGATTGCTTGACCAAAAAATTCTACTGCAAGGATGACATAATTGTATCATTGATGCCATCTACTTTAATTGAAGTAAAGAACTCAGTGCTATAAGCTTTAAAGACTATTCTTTAGTGTAGTTTAAATGTTCTAATCCCTTTTATTAATTGATCAATAAATATTGGATCATCTTCACAAAAGGATGCCTAATCTTTTTTACCAAAATTTAGAATTTAAAAATAAAGAAGTTGGATCATGATACGTAAGCATCATGACAATTGCTTCATGATGCATAATCTTCACATCAACTCTAATATTACTACCACTGAATTAAATGAAAGAAAGCTTTATTCAAGATTTGAAAAACTATGACAATAACGAGCAACATAATCACGAATTCATTAGTCAACCATTAATCTTGATCTCCTTTACTTTTTCTTGATTCATTTGACAGTTTGCATAATTTAGTATTTTGATCAAATAGTTTTTGTCTCTTGCTTCATACAGCAGACATAATCCATCTCTAGTTCTAACAGTTTGTTAATTTTTACTTCATCATATCCTAAAACATTACTTATGCATAAGTTTTATTTCAAGATAATATTTTTATTTCAACAGCAAGTTAGTGTTAGAACAAGATTGTAAAAGTAAAAGGAAAAAGGAAAACAATTTTGACATCAATGTTCAATTAATGGTGGCAGTAGTATGACATGCATTGCTATTATGTGTGATGGGCATGCAGATCTCCGAGAAGACAAGCACTATATGGCTGATCATCCAGGTTTGATGCCCGTGACTACTGAGCAAGTACAAATCTTTCATCACCAAATGTGTATGCAAATGTGTAGAGTTTCGCATGCAATGATTTTTATGAAGTATTAGATTTTCTGTTCATTACTAGGGTGAGGAACTCCGTAAACAGATTGGAGCAACTTATTATATCGAGTGCAGCTCAAAAACTCAGCAGGTATATTTAAGTACCATCTTATTCTTGCAATTGTTTGTTTGTACATGAAAAAAATACCACACAGTATAATTCATCTTTTAGAGGAATGCAATTTAAAATAAAATAAATTATGGTAGGTGGATCATGTTTGGATGATGTGCAATAATGTAAATTACTCATGCCTTACTGATATAGCCTTTTTAACAACTTTTTTTCTAAATTTTAAGTAAAATCTAATTCATGAAGTTGGGCCATGTTTTTATTATTTTTTTGTTTCACATATCAAATAATTATGACTTCAAAATGATTAAATGTAATGTAAAATAAGGATGTGGGACTTGTGGACCCAGTTAATAAAGTTTAGAGTTGTTAGGCTGGAGAAGTGAGTTACCTAACGGACCCGATTGATCCGTAGCACTTTCCCTGCTTTCCAGATCCTGGAATGTATTTTGTATGATCTGAAATGCATGGAAAGTGGTTCAAGAAAACTGTGAAGTGAAAGAAGAAAAGTGTTTACATTATAAAAGGTAAAATTGTCTAATATCTAATCATGGAATCCACTTAATTAATTTAAGAACCTCAAAAGGTAAAATTCAGTTGTTGGGATGGAGATGGCCTGGCATAGAATGTGAAAATTTGTTAAATTATCCAAAAGGTGCCAATACACCATTACTCCAATGAGATGCTTTCATAGCTGTAAAAAATTGTGAAATGTAGCAATATCATTTGGTTTTGCTCATGTGATGTGTTTGTTGTTAAAGGGTCTATTATTGGTATCTCTCAATTTTGGTATGCCAGATATTTTTCATCAGTTTTTGGAGATACTTACTTTGATGTTTTAACAAATATTCTGCCTGAAACCAAACTTATTTTCGCAATACTATTGCAGAATGTGAAGGGGGTTTTTGATGCTGCAATAAGAATGGTGATCAAGCCTCCACAAAAGCAAAACGAGAAGAGGAAGAAAAAACCACGAGGCTGTTTCCTGTCAGTGCACCTTTTCTATATTATATCTAACAGTTTTATACATATTTTTCTGTTGGGGTAACACTTTTCCTTTGACACCTCACTGTTTTCATTTCAACAATTTTATATTATCCCTATCGAAAAGTTACCCACTTTGAGTATTCAAATATTTTAGTAGTTGGTTGTACTTACCCAAAATTTATTGTGTATCAAGAACTGATAAAATAGTTAATAACTGGTCAGGTTAGGTTACCAATACTTAAGGAAAACAATAATGAATAACGTGGCAACTCGCATTAAACCACCATAGTTTATTAAAGAGAATACACGGTGGCAGTTAAAGTGTGAAAAAAATATATGTATATATATGCACATGATAAAATTGTACTATAGTTTGGCTTGTTTTGAATGTTATAATATTAGTTCCTGTGACTTTTGGTTATTGGATTTAATCTATCTCAGTGAAAATGCAGAAACGTGTTGTGTGGAAGGAACATTGTTCGTCTTAAATGAAAGACTACATTAGCATTTCGTCCAAAGGTTTGATTGTAGAAATATGAAACTTGAATTATAATGACTTGGCTGGAGTTTGCAGTGTTGTTACTTATATTTGGTTGTTTTGAATTTGATTTCAGGTAGGTTTTAATGTTATGAAACAGTTGCACCGTATAAGCATGTAAAGAAAGCACAAAGAAGTTTGTTGGCTAGCTACCATTTATTTAAATTATTTTATTTGAATTTGATCTAGTTTCAGTGTATATATATATATATATATATGATATGAGGTGTCATTATCTGATATTCAAACTAAACTAGCTTTTCAAATTATTACTAATTAAAGCGTGCTGAATTGTTGTATTGTTCATAATCTCTATATAAAAGGACTCGTTGGGTGGTTCATTATTCAGAATAGACCAATATCAGCAACTATTTGAAAAACCTATGCTTTTATTGTACTTATTTCTCAAATGATATGACGTTTGATCCCACCATCCCTCTCCCTTCACCTTCTCCAACTTTAGCTGCTCAATTGTCTGAATCAGGTAAGAGAACGAAGGTTACGATTATCAGCATGTTTTTCTATAAATAAAAATAAATATAAACTAATTTCTAGAAGAAAATTTGATTTGTAGAAATTTAACTCCTTTAAATTTCTAATTTTTAAGTTTGTACAAAAGTTAATTTGAATTGGTAAATATTATCTTTTATTTTTATCTCTTCAAGAATTACTCGAATAAATTTATTAAAAAATCCATTACTCAACATAAAGACTTCACTTCGCATGGCTTTTTATTAATTTATTCATCTTACTTTTAAAATGTTTTGAAAATAATTTTTCTTTATATTCAATCTCAATTATTCAAATCACCGGTAAAAGAAATTTAATTCAAGTTTCCCTTCACTAATTTTCCTTTATATTTAAAAGTTTTAATTAGGAAATTCACGTTTATTTTAATAATCGAACAACTTTTATAAAAACAAATAAAAACGGTACTTTCCAAATCCAATAATTTTAGTTCTAATTAGAAAATTCACGTTTATTTTAATAATCGAACAACTTTTACAAAAACAAATAAAAACGGTACTATCAAAATCCAATAATTGTAGTCCATTCAAATTGAAAGAAAATTTCTTCGAAATAAGAGATATCAAAATGAAGTCAACCGTATAAACCAACCGATTTACCGCCAATTCGAATTGTGATGGATTGTAAAAAAATTAATTGTTTTAGATGTAAGTTAACTGACTTAATCCACAAATTAATGAGTCAAGTTGAAGGTGATTATATTTAACTTATGTTTGTAAACTATATAAATTAACATTTTAAATTTTAAATTTTAAATTTTAACTACTATAAAATATTTAAACACTTAAAAATAATCAAGTCAAATATATTTTATTTTACTGCAAAAAATATATAAAATAAATAAATAAATAAATAAAGCAAAAATATCATTAATGAAATCAATCTACTAACCCACAAATATGTGATAAGCAGAGTTCACAAACAAGAAAACAACTTATGATGAGTCAATCATGTAAACCAGGTTACATTAACTCACTACCCTATTTGAAATTACTTATCCAAATAAAAACATACCAACTTGTTAGCTTTCAGTTAAAATTAATTTTCTGTTTTAATTATTTGATTGAAAACATAGGCTAATCCCATCTTCTAAACAAACCAGAAGCATGCAACCTTATTCCGCTTATACCCTTTTCCGACTTAACACCGACCCCGAAATGCCACCAAACATTCTTTTAGTCCATCACACAACATTACAAGAACAAGTAATGATATACAGACTGGCGAGTGTGGACAGAGATTTCTCTGTATGACACGGAATTAGACAGTTCCAAGAAAACGACAACGTATCAAAGTTCTGGCTTTGATTAACATATCGAGTGAAAAAATTAGCAACGCCAAATTTGCACGACTCTATACAAAAACAAAGCCAGTGTGATAATGAAAACACGACTAGTTGTAAATATCAACAAAATCAGGTAGAAACGTTAAATGTGAAGGAATCCGATACACAGCAAACATATATCGATCACAGCAGAGGAAGCAACTTGGTGCCAAAATTTGTTGGTCCCTATTATGTATGTATGTGTGTATAGGAAAAGATTTTAATTTAGTTTCTGAACGTAAAAAGAGGATTTCTACATGAAGTGCTGATAAGGGAAAGTTATGGTCCACTAGATATAGATATAGATGCAACAAGTATGGTCCCCTCTTTAGGAAGGAAAAATAACTAGTTCCCCTTTCAAATATTCCTGTAAAATATATATGATAAACTAAGGGAATGAGGACCTGCGACTAACATAATCAGGCGCCCACTTACCACCCAATTCTCCCAAAAGCAAATGTTAGATGTTCTATGGAAATTGACCATCCCCCATCCACAAATCACTGAAGACGACACATTTAGCATACAAACAACTACTTAAGAGGCATGACAACATTCAATTGAGGATCACCTAAGAAAACATAAAAAAGATAGTAAAAAGAAAACTAGCAAGAAGAACGGAAATATATGAGAGCCACAGCAGGCTGAAACGGAGCAGGATTTCTCAATGAAAATGGGACAGAAGACTGCCCACAGAGAAATTGCAATAGCATTTATTCCATTATCATTTAAATATATTTCTTAACGAAAAAAGTAACAACCTCCACTGAATTACATCAGCATGACACAGGATATATTTTCAGATCTTCTCCCACAAGTGACCAAGTGTTGCAAACATTTGAATATACAAAACTAAACACTTACAAGCATTTGTGGTCATCAGATTGTATGATTATATAGATTGCTATTGCCATGAGGATTGGTTGTAGCCATCCCACCCACCATCAGGCTCCTTCCTCTTCCGAACACTACCGGCAAGCTGGATCCTCGCTTGCTCCTCAGCTAAGGCCTTTGAACTAGCAACAGAAAGTTGCCTAGATGGAAGAGGCAAACTCTCATCTCTCCCCTCCATGTCTGAACAGCCAGGTCCAGCATTAAGATCTAAACCCTGCCTTGTCCATTTTCTACTGGTCTCAGCACTACCACTATTGTTACCTTCTGGAAGACCAACAACATAGGGCCTGGGGTAATGAGATGAAACTGTGGCAGCAGGCCCCATTAACTGTGAATTTACTGCAGGGAAGCAAAGCCGATTGGCTGATGTTGGATATACGTAAGTAGTTGACCCAGCAGAAAAAGAAGCTGATGGAAGAGGGAAGCTGGAGTTAAAGGGGAAGACGGGATATTCAAATGGAGCAGATGGATATGACACTGCAGGAGAAGATGACAATACTGGGGCCCTATAAATATCAGGTCCAAATGGGTTGCCACCAGCAGCAGGAGTCAACAACCTTTGTGGCCCATTTGGAGCAACAATTGAAAAGGGCTGATCCCCTCTATCAGGCATAATTGAAGATATTGTGACAGCAGAATAGGTGTTGCCACTGGAAGGAAGCCAAGAGAAGTTGCCTGGCTCAGCAGTAGTCATTCTATGTCCAGAAACAGGTAATTGAGATGGCACATTGCTCCGGGAGTGCTGAGAGAACAATGAGGATTCGGTGGTCATTTCATCCACAGAAGGTCCGTTGTTCAAATCAAAGTCCCTGTGGGCATTCACTTCTCTAATTGGTGGACCACCCAATGATGATTTCCCCTGCATAATTGGCACATCAATTTTATGATTACTGTTCAAGCAAATGCCCATGTCGGAAGCATCATCCACTTGGTTTAAGTCAAGACCAAGCCCTCCAGAGCTGCGGACAGGTGAAGGTATTTTACTGCATACAGGATCATGACTATCAGTTGCAAGAGATATAGAATTTGTGTGTCGAGCACAAGAAATGTCATCAAGTATTCTTTCATCGGCCACATTCAAGTCAATATCCAATGGTGCTCGACTCTGCTTTCCAGCTGGAGCATCAGGAATAGGGGTAGTTGATGTACCAAGAGGCATTTCCATAACTTTCCTGGGTTCAGCTGGCCTGAATGCACTGGTGGCAGCTGATCCCTTCCAACCAATTTCACCTTTACTTCTCAATAAATCTTCGGGAGGCACAAAGTGCCCCTTAGCAGCAGACGCCACAGTGACTGGGGCAAGAATACCACAAGACATAGATGAAGCAGGAAATGGAACAGGACTGATCAATCGACCAGAAGGTGCACATCCTGAATTGGCAATGCTGTTGAACTCACATCTTCCATCATCTGCATTGAGCCCTTCATTTAAATCAAATTCAACCTTTGCATCCGCATCTGACACAGCTGCAGCAGACATGGAAGAAGCATCTGCAGTGGTAGAGGTGCACTCCTCAGCCTCCTCTGCTTCTGAGGAAGTCAATTTCAACCTTTTAGAATTGAGATGCTTATCGATTTCTTGTGAAAGAACACTAGGTGAGTCTTCAGGAAGATCCTCTCTAGAAGGTTGGTCACGAACATCTCTCGTTTCTAAATTCTCCTCTACATGTTCAGCAACAAGACCAGTCACAATAGAACATATACCTCTATTCTCAGGCATGGTCAAGGTGTCACTTTCAGACTCACTTCTTTTACTTCTACACTGATTGACATGATTCTCAGCATCAACATCATCAATTTTGTCAGATTCCCGTTCAGGGAAGTCTTTAAGAACCTTGTCAACACTATAACCAGAAGAATGGAGCGCTTTATCATCTTTTCCTCTTGCCAAATCAGACTGAACAAGTACAGCAGGAGGATTTTTAACTGTCTGTCCACTGCCACTTGATCCTTCAGCAGTATAGTTATCACTCTGAACATCCACTTCCGCAGCTGTATGTGACAATTTTTTAGCTGCTTCTGCCTCAACTTCAGCAACGCAATTGATTTTATCATGAATTTCGCCAGCATTGACTCCCTGAACAACCTCCTGTAGTTGCTTGCTTCCATCACCATCTCCAGCTTCTTGTACACAATTTTCAGCAAGGCCACCCAGAGAAGTAGGTCCAGATTTTTCATTTAATTTTCCTTTGCTTTCCAAAGTAGTTTCAGCAACCTGTTGTAAATCCATATTACATGCATCAACACGCTTATTTAGCTCTCTTGCAGTTTTTCCTCCTGAAGCTTGAAAATCAGAATCGCTTTCACCATTTGCCCCTAGATCACCTGTTACAGAGGCCAGATTCTTATGTTCAACATCAAGAGCATCATTTGAGTGACATTCATCACGAACAAGATTTTCTTCAGAGGACTTAACACCATTGTCTGTGCATGACTGTTCAACAGCAGCTGTATTTCTTTCTGGAGATCCAGTTGGAGTTAACAATTCAGATTTCAATATCTCTCCAGCAGCCACACTAGCAAGAAGATTCATTCCACCATCATCAGCTTCAGAGTACTTAACACCTTCAATTAAAGCATTTATTGAGCTGTAAGAAGCATCCTGCAAATTGCCAGCTTTATTTTCATTTCCAGATGATGATGAAGCAGCTTTTGATACTTCCAATGCCTTCTTACAATCATTGCCAGTCCGACAGTGCTCTTCATC